ACGGTATTCGCACGCATTCGACTCTGATAATAGCTTCACAGAGTATTTAGGCTATACAATGACTTGCAGTGTTCTGTCGATGTATAAACGGAATGTTTCTAGCCTCTCAGAGGAGTGTCTCATACAAATTTGATGGGATCCAGAAAGATGGTGGAGAGTTTGTTATGCCCACAAAGCACGATCGAACTAACAACCCCGTGAGTGCATTGGGGCTATACGGGATATACGCGCCCTTAATAAGTAATATGATCGATAACCTATTATTGCACCTTTTAAGTATTCAGATAAAATGAATTTTATAAAAACCTTCCACTTTTAATTCTGCACTTCCTTAATAGATCTGGATGTCTCCAAAATTTTCCTAACACCTCGTATTGCTTTGAGTGAGCTTTAAAGATATTCAACAGTAACTGCTTATTTGAGTTATTTCACCGACAACTGGTTTTTATAGCGATGATGGTACGAGCAGTTTAACAGATTTGTCATCAGAAATGTCATATCTGGAACAAAAACATACTTCCTCCTGGACGTAACTGCAGTTTCTGAAGGAATAAATAAGGGAAATGAACAATAAAATTTTAAAAAACCGGCAGGATTGGAAGAGTACTTACTGCGAGAAAAACGTAGAGAATGAAAGAAGTGCTGAGATCCACACACCAAAAGTGATGACGGGTCATGTAAAACAAATTATATGCATATATATGTACATATATATATATATGCTGTAGTCGATGGCTGCGATAGATTCGATGTTTCGGATGGAATTTGCGAAGGCAATCATGTTTGGATGCACATATACAAGAATGCATAAATACATGCAAACATACACACGTACATAGATAAACACGAAAATAAAGCTGAAGGAGCAAGCTTAAAAGATGAAGAATCCATGCGGGATGCGCTAGGCATCCGACTTCATCAAGCATCGCAAGAGATGATTGAATGCATACCTGCCCTATACAATGGCTTGCGGCTCTTTAGTGATGAATTAAGTCAGTGCTGTCATACTCTTAGACATGTTTGGTAACAATTCCTGCCGAATGCGGAGGGATGAGAAATTCAGTGAGTCGGGGTTAGGGATCAAACCAAAAATCGACTGTGTATTGTAGGGCGATTCGAAACCACTGCGCTTCGCGCACCATAAATGGATACACATATGTAAATGTATATACGTATACATATATCATATGTATATATGTTTATATATTTGTATACGTATACGAACACATGGGCGCAGTGGTCGGAGGCGCCCTGCAGCACACACATGGAACCGAATCCCCGCACCCATAGCCCACCACCCTTCGTGTTCGACAAATTGGTACCAGACTTGTCTAGAAGCAGCATTGGCTCGATTGATCAGTAGGCCTCTTGAGTCATTGTAAAGGCCAAATATGCATTCAATCGCCTCCAAACGATACGTAATGAAGTCGAACGCATGGCGCATGCCTTAGGGATTGATCAACGCAGAGAGCTTTATTCTTTTATCTACAGAATGTAACAATTCAACTCTCTTATTATGACGCAATGTTGTTTTTGCCTCTCTTAAAGAACAACAAGCAAATAAATAAAACAACTATATGTTCGCATTTGTAACAAAAAGACCCGCAACGATATAATACTATGTTTAGCTTTTTATTTACTGCCTAGTACAACTTCCACGTCAAGGTATTGTGGGAAATCAACCACAACGATGTAGAGATATTCGCAAAAGGTATGACCCCGGGCCAAATCGAACCACAACTTCCCTTCCGGATCTCGCGCATTACACACTGCGCCACGGAGGCCCTTGTTCTGTTTCTCTCAGCTGGTTTTCTATCCACTACCGCCATTAGCAATAACCCGTCAACGAGATTGATCTGAAGAGTCCACATTGGCATTGAACTCAGCCAAGCTGAGGCTGCAAGGTTTTAGCAGCTTTTTCTTAAGTTTGAATATGGAAATCGAATTCAGAGTGTTAGTTCTTTTTCCAAATGTAGTAAGATAATTTTAAGAAAAGATCAAAAACCTTATTTTTGGTAAATAATAGGTCACCAAAAAGTAATGTTTTCCGTATCGATTAATTTGAAAAACAGCATCGTCATCGTCACCCGCACGTAATTTGTTCCTTTTCTTGTGGCAAACAAGATGGGATTACTAGATGGTTTCTCTTCGGTTTCTGTACAGAAATCTAGATCTACCTAATTAATTTTCTGTTCCCTTTAGAATTTACTTTGCATATGGCGATCCACGAAATCGTAGCGGATAGCGTAGTATCAGAGATGCCGTTCAACAACAAGCGCAAAGAACTTGTTCGACTCCACAGTGGTACAACGAAGTCGCTCATCCCTCTGTGGTTGCGAAATTGATATCGGACTCGTTTGAGCAGAACTCTGCCAACCCACAGAGCTTGCGACTACCTTGTGACATAGAAACGTCCTATCACGGAATTACCTCAGAATTTTAGGGAGAATCAACTTGATCAGCATTCAACGACAATCAGGAAGAAGGAAGCATCGTCAAGCTAAATCCAAATTCGTACAAATACATGAAGTCCTCGGTGAAAGGTGGATACGAGGAAACGAATCGAATACAAGGAGTGCTGGGATCTATGGAATATCCGATATCAAGTCACGCAAGAGAAAAAAACTTTTCAAAATCTACAACAATCACATCATTAATAAAGCCGTGAAAAAAGAACTCACCTAGAGAGGAGAAAACGTCGAAAGCTACTGATTGGTTACAGTGCACCCCAACCACAAGATGGGAAACATTGGAAAAAAGTAGCTCAAAATAGGCTCCTCTTGTAGACAAGAAAGGTGTTCAATCCTTTTCAATATTCCTCACCAATTTAGTAATGGCTGTGACTTCACTCAACGATGATTGTTATGAGTTTTCTCAAGGAAAAAAAACTTTCCACTGAATTCAATACTTCTATTAACTTCATTCCTTCTAACGGTTTACCGCCTCATCGTGGCTGGGAGGTGTTCCTGGGTGTCAAACTGCGATGTACAGCGGGGATTCATCCTCTGGCAGGGTCTCCGAAGCTGAGGAGTCTGGCGTTTCCATCAGGAAGTCTAGCTAAGAGTACACCAGTACTAGGACAAATCACTGTCCTGGTATCAAAGTCGCATGGTGGTAAATCTCCTTCTGATCCACAAGGGCTGCGACTGCCCATGGTGGTGAAGATCTGGGGGGAGACTTTGGTCAGGCTAACCTCGGGACTCCAGGAAACCATAATGGCTTAACCAGCAAATCTCCGAAAAAATGGAGATTATGCTGGGGCCCGCACAACCAGTGAGGACGGGCCATTCAAGTATCAAGTAAGTAAGTACTAACCTCATTAACGAGCTCATTTGGAATTCCTAGTATGCAGAAAATTGTGCAGCTATAGTGCAAAGCTTTTTTCTCTCCTAGAATATTCGATAGGAAAATTTCGTCTTAAATCAGTGAGATACAGCTTGGTATAAAACACCAGATTTACAGTTTTGTGGAAGAAAGCTCTAAATCTTATGTTTCATTGCTTGAAATCAATAAAGGATGTTAAACAAACAACAGCTTCGAGGAATTCTGTATTCAATTCATGAACATTTAGAAGAAAAGTGGTAAGCCAGAGATCAGAAGACGCTCACAGAGAGAAATGTGAAAAACCAAAATAATAGGGTTTAGTAAGCAATATTTCGAACCGTATCCTTAATACTAGTTCTAGGCAGGCCTAATTGGTCTTCTTCTCCTCCGGGATTGAGGATCTGGTAGAAGCTTTTGTAGTGAGCCCTTCCTCGTTCGGAAGACCTAGGAACTTACTATGTACTAAACATACTTCGTAGAAGACAAATGCTAGAAAATGAATCAAAGGCAGGAAGTGCTGAGATCTGCACAGTATATTAAATTGGTCATGTAAAAGTAGACAAACCACTCCAACTTTTAATACGACGCTTTCGCAAAGAAACATGAATTGCTTTGCAGGATGCATTTGGCGGAAAGTATGTTTATCATATTTCAAGCACACTGAAAATTTCTATCCGGGAAATGAAATGGGCGGAGCAGAACAACTGTGCAAGTTAGCGTCGAGTGTTGGCTTCATCGACGTACCTTCTGCTCTTGGACACATCAATTTCACGCGACTCGTTACGGAGACACCCATAGCTGTTGTCATTGCTGCCGCCTCTCTCGCCACCTCCACCGCTTCCGCCACACTCGTCACCACCACAGTGGCCACTGCGACCACTTCCACCACCCGGTCCACTATCACGCTGCCGCAGAGCACTGACAAAAGTCGGCTAACCATGGGCGAAGTGCAATCCGAGTTTCCTAAGACGTATATGGATCATGGAAACTTTGCGAGGAGTGCTAAGAGACTTCACGTTATTGTGTGAAGTAATGCTGAGAGCGCGCAGTGTGCTCGTAGTGCTGCAGTGAAAGGAAGCGCGACAAAGAGGAGCTGCAAATCAGCTGTTTGTGTCCGCGTGAGTTTTTCTTACATAACTTCTAATGTTTCTTATTAGGATGTATTGCAACTTCAATCCAATGTCTCTACAGCCAAACACCCTTCCAGGATGGAAGATTCGCTTAAACTATTATGTCAAGTGTTTTTCTTTCCTTTGAAGGTTTAAGGGAAAATGAAACAATGTTGGCGTTTTTGCTTTGCGTTAACGCATATAATTAATTCAAAAGACCGACTTTCCATAAACCTCGGCATAGATAGTTGATATATTTATTTACATGATCTTATAAACTGATCTTCTTTAGCTGATGCGAGGTTGGTATAGGTCTTCTTTGTCGTTGTCATTGTTGTTGGTGTTGTTGGTCGACGGCTGACGTTTCGACGATTTCGCCTTCCTCAGAGCCTGGGCATATTTTATATTAGAATACTTTAATTATTCGGTGGAAAAAAAGGCTAAAGTATTAATGAACATCAAACTTTTAAATAGATGATGGGGTAGAGACGCTATGGTCAAATGTAGTTCTACGCCATATTGAACAGGAAAGCTGCTCACCATGATGTTACGAGTGGGACAGGCCCACGCGTTGTTCACGTGAGGTCGCGAGCAAGACACACCCCGCGGTCAAAATATCATTTTGAAATAGGCGTGTTAGTGAGGCATTCGTCTTTCCGGTTCATTTTTGGATTTTTGAAATATATCGGAAATGCCTCAAGAGTATGGCGCTTTGATGTTTTCGACTTCTGCGCTAGGATCCGCACAGTCACTTCAAAATCATCGCCGTTCTGCTTTTGTGCCCTATGCGTACCTGGGTTAATGTTTTGACGAATTTTAACTTCCCCGTCTAGGTGTTCTTTTATGCGGACATAAATAGGTCTACCTGTTCCCCGATGTATTTTTCACTACGAGCCATTACATGAGATCAAGTATATTGAACCAGACCTCATGTAATCGCCACCTCTCGCGTTAGGGAAGGATTATACAGTTTTCGGAGCTGCACAAACGTTCATAGAGTCGCTTGCGAACTAACTAACTGCGTAGGATATTGATTGGGTGGAAGGTCAATAATCTACACTGTTTTCAAAAACCACTTCTGCTTAAGAGCCTCTTAATGGCGTAAGTTATTTCATTTGATATGAAGGGCAGCTTGAAAGGGATCTTACTTAGGTCTGAAGCACGCAAGTAATGGAGTCATTCGATGTTACGTCACTTTATACCAACGTGTCCAATGACTCCGCAATGCAAGCCATTCTCGAGTTGCTCGTAGAGCATGAAAAGAAAATAAAAATGTACGGCTTGTCGATAGCGCAACTAATGACTTTCTTAAAACAGTGTCTTAGTTGTTCAATCTTCAGGTGGTCTGGGAAATATTTTGCACAAATTAGAGGGTTGGCCATGGGACAGCGTTTAGCACCAAGCCTTGCAATCGCTTTCATGTCTAAGGTGGAAGCTCCAGTTCTCGATCACCGACCCTTACTCTACTGTCGATACATAGACGACTGCTTCATTGTCTGTTCCACACAAGAACAGATGGATGAGTGCTTTGAATTATTAAACCGACAGTCAGAGTATATAAAATTTACACGAGAAAAACCAACCGAAAACTGGCTTCCATTCTTAAACATCCAAATAAAGCTCTCAGTGAGTGGCAATATAACAAAATGGTATCCCAAGCTAAGTAGTGAAAACGTTCTAGTTCACTACCTCTCCTCTCATCCTTCACACACGAAAAAAGCACCTATCAAAAACATGTACCGTATGGCTAAAAATGTGTGTACAGGAGAAGAGGAAAGGAAGGAACCGCAAAACCTGGCATGAAAAATAGCCATTTCCAATGGCTACGAAATAGAAACCACTCAGGTTAGACAAAAACGTTGGGTGGTTGCCCAAAATAATGTTTCGGACCTAAGTAAGATCTCCTTTAAGCTGCCCTTCATATCAAATGAAGTAGGTCACGCCATTAAAAAGTGCTTAAGAAAAAGTGGTCTTGAAAATTGTGTAACGATTATTGACATTCCACGCAATACCCTACGCCGTCAATTGGTTCGCAGCCGTCTCTGTGATCGTTTGTGCAGCTCAGAAAACTGGATGATCTGTCCTAACGGGAGAGACAGGGATTGCATGAGTTCAACAACGTACTTAACCTCTTTTAAGACATGCGGTGAGGATTACATTGGGGAAACGGATACACCACTTTGTGTCCGCATAAAAGAACATCTAGATGGGAAAGTTAAAATCCGTCAAAACACTCCTCTAGGTACACATAGAGCACAAAAGCACAATGGCGATGATTTTGAAGTTACTGTGGGGATCCTACCGCAGGAATGAAAAACATCAACGCGCGAAACTCTTGAGGCGTTTTGGATAAATTTCAAAAATCCAAAGATGAACCGGGAAGAAGAATGCCTCACTGTCACACGTCACCTGGTGCCCTATTTCAAAATGATATTTTGACCCCAGCGTGTGCCTTGCTCGCGACTCCACGTGAACAACGCGTGGGCCAGTCCCATTCGTAACATTATGGTGAGTAGCCTTTCTGTTCAATATGGCGTAGAACTACATTTGACCATAGCATCCTAACCCACCATCTATTTAAAAGTTTGATCTTCATTAATACTTTAGCCTTTTTTGTCACCGAATAATTAAAGTATTCTAATATAAAATAAGTCCAGCCTCTGAGGATGGCGAAATCGCCGAAACGTCAGCCATTGACCAACAACACCAACAACAACGATAACGACAAAGAAAACCTATACCAACCTCACATCAGCTAAAGAAGATCGGTTTATAAGACCATATAAATGCATATAATCAATTTTTCGAACGGCTTAAGAACGAATACTACACCAGTTAGCTGCTTTGTTGTAAAAACTTATATAATGACCATGTGAAGCAGTGCATGGTATGAGATGGACGAGTTTTCGTGTGTTTTCATGGGAGGGAGCCTCATTCGCGAAATGTCAAAGAACCTCCTCGTAAACAACAGCTTCAACAATGTCTTTGGCTGTGTTGTGTCTCACAGCGGCCTCAGCGGCGACGAAAGTGGGCGGGGTAGGGAAGCGCAAGGCGTGCAGGTAAACATGGCGTGCCCTTGTCGTGAACTAACGCGCCGGATTCTAGTAGGCGAGTGAATCGCCGAAGAATTTACGTTATAAATATAATTATGCACCCAAATACATTCAACAAGTCAAAAACACACACGAAGGCTTATGACAAGTTTCTGACGCAAAGTCAGCTTGGCTGTGAAATTGTACGGGAAATAAATACTTGTAAAACCGCAGACTTTATTCTATGAAAAGAAAACAAGCAAAGCACCAGCGGATAAAAATAACTGTCTGGGAAGAGCGTTATAGCTATATTTTTCAAGCCGACTGCCATTTAATCTCGCCAATAATAGTCGACACCTGAGATTTAACAGGTTGATAAAAGGGTTTATTGGGCTAGCGTTTCGAAGTCTTCGTCTTCTTCAGCGCCAGATCCAGTAGAGGCAGCACCGCTCTAATAGTTCACCTCACTCAGCGGTGCGCTTTTATTATTCATTAATCCACTGGGTTCGACCCAACGAACAACTACAACGTGAACGACACCAGTTGTGGATCATCAACTCCGATCAATCCGGATCCAAAGAAGACAAAGATGTCGAAACGTGAACCGAATGAACCTTTTCATCAACCTAGTGTTAGCTTAATAGTGTATAAAGATATTAAAGCTGTGATTATCTTCAGCTTAACTGGGTTCATTGCCGATTTGGGCTTTCCACATCAATCCCGTTAAGGGGCGATTGATGATGGCACTGATCGTTAGAACTGGCTGAGAGACAGGCAAAAACGAAGGACCCGCATGGTGCGGTGGTGAACGCGTTAGCCCCCGGAAAGGGCAACAGCGCGTTCGTTCCCCACCATACCCACCGGCGGAGTTTTGCAAATATCTCGGCATCATTGTGGTTGCATCATATATAATATCCTGCCTTGAAAAATAGTATTAGGCAGTAAATAAAAAGTTGGCACTGTGATTATGTGTGACGCAATTCTTTCTCCATTTATACTCAAAGATCATGTTAGTGGATGAGATATAGTGCCGCGCATACGTATTGATTAGTTCAGCACGTAATTTTACTTTCATAGCTTGTTCCCTGTGTTAAAAATTACACTACTTCTATAGTAGTCTGCGGAATGACGATGTACCACGAAATCCAAGACATTTTTGTGCAAGTTTAGCAATATGTGGTTAGTTGTAAAAAAGTTTAGCAGTAAATATCTGAGCATATATTTCCGCTCCATGAAATATGACACAAGATTTCCAGTACAATTTAAGGAAAGCGTATTATTTCCAGGTAGATCGTCAACAAATCCACAGTGCCATCCTTAGAACTGGAATGTGGGAGCCGTTATTATAGGTGGTGATCCACATACTGAATATAGAACGTGAATGCGTTCGGTGCGATCTCTTTCGTCACGGTATCGCATCTCATTATCATGGATCAGATATGGCGTCTGTGTGATCCAAACATAAGATATGTGTAGAGAGAACGGCTTTCCAATAGATGATAAGCCGATGATATCGCCATTTGGAGTTAATTTCTGGCGTTCAAGAACGTTTGTGCCCACTATACTCCATTGCCTACTGTTACACAACACTGTTCAACATGTGTTTTTCATTGATAAGCCAATACAAGGTTGATAAGAAACTATTTAGCTAGCCTTAACCGTTTTATTTACTGCCTATTCTTTTGGACGGCAGAGTATTTTGCGAAATATAACTATTATAATACTGAGATATTGGCAAAACTCCGGACCGCAAGTGCTTGCGGTGGTGAACGAACGCGCTATTGTGCTTTCCGGTGAGTAACGCGTTCACCACCACACTATGCGGTTCCCTCGTTTGACGGGTGATTGCTGATGGCAAAAGACCGATAGAACTAGCTGAGAGACAGG